GGCAGGCAGAGAGAGAGAGAGAGAGAGAGAGAGAGAGAAGCAGGCTCCTTGCTGAGCAGAGAGCCTGACGTGGGACTCGATCCCAGGACCCTGAGATCATGACCTGAGCCGAAGGCAGCAGCTCAACCCACTGAGCCACCCAGGCGCCCTCTAGACCGTGTTCTTAATGGAGATAGTTTGCATCCAAATAACTGTGATCATGCTGTTTTTGAAGCGAAGTGAATCATTTTGGGAAAGTTTTTTCCTTTTGGATTTTATGGGTTGATCTGTATTTCACCTGATTTTCAGCCAAGCAATCACTCTCTGGGTCTGCGAGGAATTCATACTGATACTGATTTTGTGTTTATGTTTCATGCCCTGCCTCTCATGAGAGGTCTCTTTAGAAAAAAACCTGCTAGTTAAACCTAATATTCAACATTCTTTTTCTTCCTTTTCCATCTCCATTTATTTCCTCTCTTTTCTGCTCTCTGGGCAGGTTATGTGTAATTCATCTCCATTAAATTATTTCATTTTATTGTTTTTTTGGTGCTATCACTTAAGGACCACACTTATGTTTATCCCATTTTTCTTTACACTCTTATTGTGAAATGTAACATTAGTACAGGGAATTAATATATATTTAGAATTTAACAAATGTTCCCAGAATAGATGCCTCTGTATCTGCCACTGAGGAAAATACGAAGAATGCTAGTAGTGCCCTGCCATGTCAAGTGTTCCATCCCAGACACAGTCTACACCTCCTCCAAGAGAAACTCAACATCCGGATTTTTAAGTCAGCATCTGTTGGGTTTTCTTTTTCTTTTTAAGATTTTTGTTGTTGTTGTTGTTGTTTGACAGAGATCACAAGTAGGTAGAGAGGCAGGCAGAGAGAGAGGGGGAAGCAGGTCCCCGCTGAGCAGAGAGCCCAATGCGGGGCTCGATCCCAGGACACTGGGACCATGACCTGAGCCGAAGGTAGAGGCCCAACCCACTGAGCCACCCAGGTGTCCCTCTGTTGGATTTTCTTGATAGTTTTCCTTAACTGTGCATAAATCCTAAAATAGAGTTTGACTCTGTATGCCACTGACATTTATATGAAAGGAGTCATATGCTATTTATTTGTTTGCTCTTACTTCCTTTGGCCACTGAGTGTCAGTACGACTCACCCATGCTGCTCAATGTGTATCATTCATTTTCAGTGCTTCTGAGAGCACCATTTCATAATCTGTCTCTGTTCTACACTGATGGACCTTTGTATGGCCTTCAGATGTCAACAATGACAACGCAGCTATAAAAGTCTTTGTTCATGTGTCCTGATGTACATCAGAACCTGTTTCTTTGGAGCAGCAGTTCCCTTCCACACCAAGTGTGATGTCCCAATGTATGTGGATCTCCTTCTAAGCTCTACATGGTCTCTGCTGATCTGTACATGTAGCTCTGCACAAATATCTAATATCAAACTGCTATCATCTCTAGTTTTATAACAGGTCCTAACCTCTGAAAGAACAATCCACCTTACCCTTTTTTTCTCTTTATCTTCTAATTGTGCTTTATTTTTCTGTGAATTCTGAGTTTTAAATACCTTTTGTCAAGTTCAACAACAGTAACATGAATCAGAAAAATTTCACGGTACACTTGCATTCACTAATTGTGAAAGGGAATGAGCTCAAGCTGATTTTGGTTCCTGTATTTCTCTTACTGTACATGTGGCATAACATTCTCCTGTCCTTGACTCTCCTTATTACAATGGGTCTAGGCAGCATGTGTTTCCCGTTCTAAATATCCCCCCTTTGTAATTTTCTCCTTTGTGTTGTATTATCTAGATACATGTCTGCTTCTTCTTTAATGTCTTAGATTTTTAGCTTCCCTTTAAAATTTCCATTGGCTTTACCCCCTTTCTGACTCCTTTGAGATTTTCTCCATCTGAGATAAATATATTTTATTTGTTTTATAAGTAAGCCCTATACCCAACATGGTGCTTGAATTCACGACCCAGAGATCAAGAGCTGCATACTCTACTGACTGAGACAGCCAGGCACCCCTGATATTTTTAATTTTAGTTATACAGACATTTATTTATCCTTATCTATTGTGTACTTTATGAGACCACTGTATTCAATGTCCAATATTTCCACATTATCACTACTTTCATATTGTACTATATAACTAATATCCTCTTCACTTTGAAAATTACTACACTTTAATAGATCTATCAGTCTGTTACAAAAGATATTTCTCCAGTCTTACACATAGCCCCCCGCTTTTTAAAAAGATTTTATTTATTTATTTTACAGACAGATCACAGGTAGGCAGAGAGGCAGGCAGAGAGAGAGGAAGGGAAGCAGGCTCCCTGCTGAGCAGAGAGCCCTATGTGAGGCTCGATCCCAGGATCCTGGGATCACGACCCGAGCCAAAGGCAGAGGCTTTAACCCACTGAGCCACCCAGACGCCCCACACAGAGCCCCTTTTACAATGGTTTTGCTTACAGGTAACTTTGAAAGAGAAAGCCAAAAGGCGATCTCTTTACTAGATATGGAGAAGCTGGAAAGTCATGGTAGCGGAAAGGTGTGGTGTCAAGCCATCAACCGTCGGCAGCAGCAGCTGCTAGGTTTGGCTTGCCAATCTGCCATAGGCGTGGCTGGTAAGGAAACTGCAAGCCCAAATGGACTGAGAAAGATTATTCCTTACACAGATGGCATAAGAAAGTCAGCAAACATTTTGTCATCTCCTGCTATGCCTGTCACATAGGACACCACCAAACCAAAGGGGCTAGAATACAGGCAACATGTGCAGTGGGACTAAGTTGCTGAGGAGCCTAGTCAAGCCTGGCTGTGAGTGGTTTTAAATCCTCGCAGATGGACCCTATGGAAGGAAGGATTAAGTGGAAGTTCCAATGTCTCACAGGAACCAGGGATGTAGTGAAACTCTCATATACCGCCGGTAGGAAATATAAAAAATTAACCACTTCATATCAGTTTGACAATTTCTTAAAAAGTTAAAAATTCACCTACCCTATGATTCAGGCATTGCACTCAGAGGTATTAACACAAGAAAAATGAAACATGTATCCATATAAAGATTTATATGTGAATCTTCAAAGAAGTTTTATTTGTAATAGCCAAAACCTGCAAACCCAGGTGTCAAGAAACAGATCTATGACAACAAATGGCGGTATATCTATACAACAGAACACTACTCAGCAATGAAAGGAATGCACTTTTCAAATCTCAAGGTAATTACACAATATATATGAGGCCAGAGAAAAAGAATAAATACTTTAATACTAAAATTCTAGAAAATATAGTCTACTATAAAGGAAAGTAAATCTAAGTTTGCCCAGAGAGCCAGAGAGGGCAGGGAGAGAGATTAATAAAAGTTATAAGGTAAATATGTGTGTGGGGCGCCTGGGTGGCTCAGTGGGTTAAAGCCTCTGCCTTCGGCTCGGGTCATGATCCCAGGGTCCTGGGATCAAGCCCTGCATCGGGCTCTCTGCTTGGCAGGGAGCCTGCTTCCTCCTCCCTCTCTGCCGGTCTCTCTGCCTACTTGTGATCTCTGTCAAATAAATAAATTTTTTTAAAAAAGGTAAATATGTGTGGAACTTATATGCTCATTATCACAACTATGATAGTTGTAGATTATATTGCCAAATCTTATCCAACTACACACTTTAAATATGTTCAGTTTACTATATGTCATTATATCCTAAAGCTTTAAGCAATGGTTCAAAATAAAAGTAAGGATCTCTCCCAGTCCTTTTTTTTTTTTTTTTTAAAGTCAGGTTTGGCAACCCTCTAATATCTCTACCACCTCTCTCCTGATGCTTTGGGAGGGATGGCTTATCTCAATGATAGCAAATACTGGTGAACAATGGAGGACGTTTCCACCTTAGCCACAAAGGCTGTACGGCTGGATTAAGAGATCTCCCTTCTCTCTATCCTTGTTTTCCTGCATGTGCAATAACAGTCTTAAGGTCAACAGCCCAGAAAGCTACAGGAATCCATAAAACCTTAATTTCTCTGCCAATGACCTCAGCTATTAGGGTTACACAGACCAAGAGTCACGCTTACCCAACACAGCCACAGCCACTGGAATAGCTGTGGGTGAAATTTTAGAAGAGGGATGTTCTGTCTAGTTGACTGCAGGCTCCAGCACTCCCTATCAATCCAATGTTTCTCATCAATTGTGATTCCTGTGAGCCCTTTAGTGTTAAAACCAGTATCACTACCCTACTAAATCCTGGGCATCAGGGCACATGGCTCTTCTGAAGGACCTGGGGAAGAGATTCCCCTTAGCCATGTGGTCTTTACGTGATATGCACTATAGACAATGGAACCAATCCCAGAAACACGGGGGATTTTCACAAGTAGCTGCTCCTCAATGTGAGCACAATCTGGGCCCACAAAAAAATCTTGGCTTCCAGGCTTCATATTAGTGGCACAAAGCCAGCAGTTTTTCCTTGGAGGCCTTGGACAGCAAAGTGAACTAAGCCCAAACTGAAGAGTTATTCTCTGCCATCACATTTTGTCTTCTGAGGCACACCAAAGTTGGGAACTCCCACACAAGCTGTTTATACCTTCGTGATGTTTTCAAACCAATCTCCTGGTGAATACAACCCCAAGGATTAAAGGTGGCTTAAACAATAAGGCCTTTATTATTGCACAAATCATAGGCAGGCAGTTTATGGGTTGGTGACATGGAGACTGGAAAAAACCCACCACAAGTGTTAAATGAAAACAATGTCCCTGAAGACAAACCTTCTTTGCAAGCCACCAGCAGAACCCAGATTAGTAGGTCTTTTGGGAGAAAACTGGGTCAGGTATACACATTAATTAGAGAGAAGGGAATGACATCACTGTAAGACTCAGGCTGCTCATTATTTTCTCCAGACAGAACAGAGATCTATTTCCCTAAACACTGGGGTAATTGATGTATACCCCGGGGGCCTTTCAGGAATTAGAGCTACCTTATACCATGAAAACTGGCAGTCACAGTTTCAGCAAGGACCCCAAGCCGATTAGGAAGCAAAACATGGTTCCTAGAAGCTTCCCCCATACCTGAAACTTAAAGGGAATCTTCCCTGTGGTGTATATTCTGATGTAGGAGTTCAACTTCAGGAAGATATCTCCCTCACAAAGGCTCTCCTTCAATGTCATTATATCAAACATGCAGAAAGCCTGCTCCTTGCATGGCTATGGCTTTGCTTTGTGACCTTTCTGGTGCCCAGTGAGGTGAGACTTTCGGCTGAAGGCTTTCCCACATTCACTGCACTCATGAGGTCTCTCTCCAGTGTGGACTTTTTCATGTCGGATAAGGTTACACCTTCGGCTAAAGGCTTTTCCACATTTGTTGCACTCATAAAGCTGATCTGCACTGTGAACCTTCTGGTGCTGAATCAGAGCAGACCACTGACTGAAGGCTTTCCCACATTTGCTGCACATATACTGCCTTTCCAGATGGTGGTGAACTTGCTGGTGTCTAATGAGGTTAAACCTTCGGCTGAAAGCTTTTGCACATTTGTTGCACTCATGAGGCCTTTTTCTGATATGAATTTTTTGGTGTTGAGAAAACTGGGTGTCACTGAAGAATTCCCCACATTCCCTGCACTTCTGAGGCCTCTCTCCAGTGTGAACCCTTTTGTGTTGAATGAGGCCAGAGTTGCGGGTAAAGGATTTCCCACATATCCTACACTCATAAGGTCTTTCTCCAGTGTGAACGCTCTGGTGTTGAATGAGGCCAGAACTTTGGCTAAAAGATTTCCCACATCCCCTGCACTCATAAGGTTTCTCTCCAGAGTGAACTCTATGGTGTTTAATGAGGCTGGAGGTGTCACCAAAATATTTTCCACATTCACTACACTCATAAGGCCTCACTCCGGTGTGAACTCTCTGATGTTTAAGGAGACTGGAGCTTTGGCTAAAGGATTTCCCACATTCACTGCACTCATAAGTCTTTTCTCCGGTGTGAACTCTCTTATGTACAATAAGGCTGGAGCTCCGGCCAAAGAATTTCCCACATCTGCTGCACTTATAAGGCTTTGCCCCAGTGTGAATTCTCTGGTGTTGAATGAAACTGGAAATGTGGGTGAAGAATTTCCCACATTCATTGCATTTATAGGGCCTTTCTCCAGTGCGGACTTTCTGATGCTGAAAGAGGTTAAATCTTCGGGTGAAGGATTTCCCACATTCCTTGCACTCATAAGACCTTTCTTCAGTGCGGACACTCAGGCATTGAACAAGAGTGTATTTGTGGCTGAAGGTTTTCTTGAATTCACACCAACTGTAACGGCTCTTTCCACTGTGAATAGCTTCCCCACACATGGTGCAACTGCTTGGTTTCTGCCCATTATGAGTGGCCTGGTGCTGATGCTCCCCTGAACTGGTGAGGAAGTTCTTGTCAGCCTCCCCGTAGGTAAAGGACTTCCCTGACACATGTGACCTGCAGCTCTTCACGAACAAAGCCCATTTCAACAGTTTCTCTCCACTGCATTGCTTCCCATGCTGGTGAAGGTCTGCAATGAAACTGACTGGTTTTCTACATTTCTAAGATCTCAACTGGGGACACGTTCTCTGATGCAGAGCCACACCCAAAACGTCTTTTAAGACCAGATAACATATCCCACAGGGGTCTGCCTTCTGGGGATATGGGCCTCCATGGTGAGTCCCGACCTGTGATACTCCTACAGAAGCAGTGGGCTCTGAAGGTGTCTTCCCATCCTCTGCTCCATGCCAGCAACCTGAAAGCAGAGAAATTCTACAGAAGTATACATAGGCAGTAGTGGGAAGGGGGCAATACCATCATAAATGTGGGTCCAACAGACCAATGAATGTGCTGATGGCACCGTTTCCAGGATGAAGGAGCTGGGGTCAGGGTAAAGAAGCTGCTGCTGTAGGGCACCTGGATAGTTCAGTTGGTTAAACTTCTGCCTTAGGCTCAGGTCATGATCCGGGGGTCCTGGGATCAAGCCCAGCATGGGGCTTCCCACTTAGTGGGGAGTCTGCTTCTCCTTCTCTTCTGCTGCCCCTCTCCCCAACTTGTGCACTTGCTCTCTCTCTCAAAAAAATAAATAAAATCTTAAAAAAAAAAAAAAGCAGCTTCTGCTGTGCAATACTGGGCCTCTCCAGGTCAGACAGTGAGGGAGGCCTCTCCAGGTAAAGAAACACGGATGGGATGTGGCATAGGGAGGGGCAGAAGGATCCTCTGCTAATAGCTTTCAGTAAATCCTTGCTGACAACTGTGCAGAAAGGTGTATCTAAGCTCAGGAAAATCCAAGTGTAAGAGAGCTGGTTTAAGAACTATGTTGAGTAGGGATGTCAGTTAAGCATCTGCCTTTGGCTCAGGTCATGATCACAGGGTCCTGGGATGGAGACCTGCATCAGGCTCCCTGCTCAGTGGGGAGTCTGCTTCTCCCTCTGCCCCTACCCCCGCTCGTGCACTCTCTCTCTAATAAATAAATACAATCCTTAAAAAGAAAAAAGAACTATGTGAGGATATGTGCACACTTCATGATACAAAATGTATAGGGTAATGTGAGAAAGCACTACAGAAGCAGCAGTAAGGGGAACTGGTAGTGTGTGGAGTCCAGATAGGTGGGAATTAACCAGAATCAGAGCAGAAATGACAAATTAGCAAGTGTCAAGAATGGGGAAGTAAAAGAAGAAATGAGGTAACCACTGGCCACCAGTGGACTAGGACAGGTTTCTGGTATCATCTGAACACAACCCTGATGAGCTCTCTCCTACTTAACACTTCTCAGGCCCAGGGTTCCTCTGAGCCCACCTTGCTATGGCTGGAGTCATGTTCATCCTGGGAAGCACCAAGGACTCTCCTTCATATTCCCTGGTTTGGGAGCTAAATGGGACCTGCATGATGCAAGTTTTAAGGGAAAGGTGAGACAGGTGAGTGACCAGCACTGGCCCAGAGCAACTTAACACATACAGACCATAGGAAAGAAGACTAGTATTACAAAGAAATCCTCAGAGGAGGATCCCGTAAGAACTGCCCATAGTCCACATAAGTACCGGCCATGTCAGTGACTACAGTTCCCGGAGCAGGCAGGGACAGGAAATGTCATCACCTATAGGAAGGGGCAAAACCAGGCAGAGAGGCGCCGTGGACTCGGACAGAGTCAGACAGACAGTTGAAAGGCAAGCAAGGTGGAAGCCATTAGTGTAACTGCAAGACTACTGACCCTGCGTATCTTCCCAGTGAGGTTTTGGGGCAGTACATTCAGCCCAGCCCTAAGGACTGCAACTGACCAGGGAACTGAGGGGAAGGAAGCAATGCCCATGTTTGTGATGGGAGAAAGACAGGGCTATCCCTGGGATAAAAGCAGAAAGGCTTAGCCCAGGTCCTCGGGGGAGGGAATGAGGGCCTTACCCAGGGTGGTCACAAGTGCCAAGTTCTCCAGCATCACATCATGGTATAGGTGTCTCTGGTTCTCATCAAGGAGACCCCATTCCTCCCAGGAGAAGTACACAATCACATCTTCAAATGTCACACTGTCCTGACAGAGACAGATGAAACCCCAAAGAGACCCTGTCCCAAGGACCCACAATCCCTTCCCCCACAGAGTTACCCCATTGGCACCACTGGTGGTTTCTCCTCATGGTCCCATTAATCACTGTGTACAACCCTCAGCAACAACAGCAGGACATCCGATAAACGCCAGCTAAACTCTGGGCCTGGCAGACACGGCCCCAACGCTCCTGCTAAGCAATACCCCTGCGGTTCTCCAGACTAAGTGTTCCAGACTCAACCAAACTGGGCTTTCCCTTCAACCTTAAGTCTGCAATACCAGGACCCTGGGGCCATTACTTCACATTCCCTCTCCACACGCACACCACTGTACCTGTGATGCAAAGACTGTACCTTTTACGTCTCTGGAGCCCACAGGCGCACTCCCTCCACCACCACAACTACCCCCTTGCCCCACAGCACAGGTATCTCCCTAGATTCTCCCCGCATCACTTAGCACATGGCATCCAGACAGCGCTTGCGTGGCAGACTCAAATGGAATCCACATATAATCCAACGTTATCCAGACCTCCGATGGCTTCCACTACAAGGGCAGTCCAGAACCCTGCTGTGAAAGCCTCCACTTCACAGAGAGAAAGCTGGCTCTGTTCTTTGCTTCAACCTCACCAACCGGAATCACATGCACATCTCAGACATCTCGCCCTCCTCAACTTCTGGGCTGCACTTCCTGAGCCCTCCAGTCACACGCATTCACACCCAGTCACACCTCATTCAAAACTCAGCCCCACTGGTCCCCTATCCCAGGCCTAAAAGCCCACAGATGACCACAGCGGACTCTGAAATAACCTACCATCCTGACTGAAACATCCCATGCCCTACCCAAGGGCCACCCCAAAATCCTGGGGAATATTATCCTGCCTCAGTTACTCCTGTCTCTCCACATTCCTCTCATGTCCACTTCTGCCTTGGAAACCTTGGTCACCTACCAGATCATCCTGCCCACACTTCCCTCCCAGCCACTTTTCTCCCTCACCAGTACCCAGTACTCTCCACCTTCAACCAGGTGCCCAACCCGAAGACCCCGTTCTAGGCTCACACCACTTTCTTCTTGGATTGCTAACAGTATTACCACCAGAACCTGAAGATTCCCCTTCCCAAATGCAACCCGCAGCTCCCCTCCGTTGATACTGCAGCAATCACCTTTGGAATGGCTCCATCCTGAAACCCCCTCCCTACCAACCTATGTGTGCAGCTGCCCACTGAATGCCTCTACTAGTCTCCAAAATGTCTCGGGCTTAACAGGGCTGAAGCCAGCCTCCTGATATTCCCACTGAAAATGCTCCCATTACCGACTACTCCATCTCAGTTGATGGAACTTCCATCCTTCCAGCTGTTAAGACCAAAACCTTTGGGGTCATCCCCGACTCCTTCCTTTCTTCCCCTTCCACATCAAAAGCTGGTTGGCCCTACTTTAAAAAAATAAATAAATAAGGGGCGCCTGGGTGGCTCAGTGGGTTAAGCCTCTGCCTTCGGCCCAGGTCATGATCTCAGGGTCCTGGGATCAAGCCCCGCATCAGGCTCTCTGCTCAGCAGGGAGCCTGCTTCCCCCTCTCTCTCTGCCTGCCTCTCTGCCTACTTGTGATCTCTCTCTCTCTGTGAAATAAATAAATAAATAAATAAATAAATGAATGAGTCCACGATCCAACCACTTCTCCCACCTCGATGGCCACCATTTACGCCCAACAACATTTGCAAGGCCTATTACAGGCCTTTCTTTGTCATTCTTCTCCCTCCTATCCCAGAGTCCATTCTCCACTGGGCAGCCACACAAGGCCTGTTAAAACCTTGGTAAGATCACTTTACTCCTAATCAAACCTTCTATTATCTCCAGAATTGACACCTGACCTCAAAGGCAGGCATTCCAGTCCTGCTTCTGTCCCCTTGTTTCCATGAGGCAAAAAGGGAAATCCAGTTCCCTCCAAGGATCTGCAGGCATTGGCACCTATTCCTGAATAACCTTCCACACCTTCAACTGGTTGCCAGAAACAAGAATCCTTCCATGTAACTCGGAGACTCAGGACTCCACACCTGGAGTTTCTCCAAGGTCTCCCAGACACAAGGACTGTGAGAACAGCAGGCAGAGTCCCGGGACACTGAATTCCAGAGACCATTTGGGAGGGTTCAGGACCAGTAAGGGACCGAGATCTTCCACGGATCCGTGTGGGCCTCAGGAGCCTTTCTTCAGTCAAAGAGCCAGGCCCTAGACAGAGGGGCCATGGCCAGGCTCCACGGGCTCAGAGCTCCCCATATGCCTGCCCAGCCCTGCGGCCAGGTGACCTCCACGGACCGCTAACCTTTGTGCCTCAGGGTCAGAGGGCTCTGACCAGGGGTGTGACCTTGCACGAGAACGCCACCTCCAGCACCCCAGTGTTCTCATCAAACCCACGCCCCCCCCCCAATCTATTCTCTTTCCCAGCAACCTTCGCGACACTTAAAACCCTCAAGGAGATCCGGTCCCTCCTTTGGCCAAAGTCCCCTCGGCGTCCAGGGTCCTCACAAAGGTCCCGCACCTCGGCCTGCCATTCCAGGCGTCTCCGCCTCACGCTTGTCCCCTGAGGGCAGAATCCTCCACTCTCAGACGTCCTGCAGCCCCGCCCCAGCCGGCCCCTCAGCCCGACCGCGCTCACACACCGGCTCCCGCCCACCTCCGACTCCCTGTCCCGGATACCCGGGCCTGGGCCGCAGGGCCGCGAACAGGCAACCGGCGCTCAGTGCCAGGAAGTGCCCCGGGGACGAGCGTTTACTTCAGCCGAGTCCCTGGGCGCGGCCGCCGCCATCGGAC